AAACTAATCATAAGGGGCTATTATTCGGTTAATTAATTATGCAGAAAAGAAACCAAACTGATAACATCCCCTGCATGGTTCCAGTTTTAGATAGTACCCTATATGCATTCACAAGTTTAAATGGAACGTGACGATTTACGAAAAATAATTGAACCCCTACGTGAGTGCCATACAAGATAGGGGATCTAAATCTTGCTTTAACCTCTACTCTACATCAACTTGCAAAACAGAGCTCTGGGATTATCTCTGACATTGTAGCTTGGATAGGTACTTGTGCTTATGTTTGCACAAAATCCAAGTACTACTAAGAAGTATTATTGTTCTAGGAGCAATGGCAGAGAGTCTTAATCAAACTTGGCATTTTTTAGAAGTACATGTGATAAATTTACTCGTAGGTTTTACCTTTTATGTAGGAGAAAAAATTGTTTAGAATTATAAATCCTAATTCTATTCCACCAAGAGCAATCAATTTGAAGAAAGAAAAATAAACACTCACGAATATGCAAAATTTATAGAGGTTGCCTCGATGTAAGACTACGTTCTCTATAACGACCCGACCTCTATGCCCGAGCCGTTATATCTTACGTACTCTTTGCTTTCGGTAGGCCTATGCCCACTTACCCCCTCACGACTTTCTATCGCGTCCCCCAAAATTTGAACTCAAGACATCTGCCTAATAAGAGACTTTAACCCACCCAAAGTGGACAATACAAAGATATAACAGCTCGAGCATAGAGATCGGGTCGTTGTAACGCCCCAAAACGTACCCTTTGAGTCGTTAAATATATATTGTAAAAATAGAAATTTCATAAAAGATAATTACCCCCAAAGTTAAAAATAAAACACTTTCTTAATCATAAAATTTATTTTTTCAATAAAAAAATCATAAATTATCTCATCTTCATTATACCACCAATGGCCAGTTCCAAACTCCAATGTCTCGAACCTCAATTACCTAAAAGGCGGAAAAATCATAAATAATGAGATAAAATCCCCATAAGTGAGTCACATAAATCGTAATTCATATTTAAAATTTAAAAATTCTTAACGTACGAGACATGAGGATTAGAAACTGAACTTAGGTGGCCATAATATCCGTACATAATTATAACATACATAGGAAGACACAAGAATTAAGATTCGAACTTCGTGGCTATAATTGCAGTGCATAGAGCTATTAAACTCCGGTCGTTTGAACTTAACGTATAGGATGCCCTAGCGGGAGGTTTAGCACCCGGAATAAATTCAATCTCATGATCAATCACCTTCCTTGGTAGCAATTTTTTTGGTAACTTATCCGACATGATGTCCTCGAATTCCTTAATAATTCTTCTAACAGGTTTTGGAATAGGGCAAGTCGCCTCCTCGATCTCCTGTAATTGAAGAGTGCACAAAAATGAGGGTTCGTTCATTTTGAAACCCTTACCAAATTGCATGGTCGAAATACTCTTCTCTATCTTCCCAACTTGTGTAGTAATGACGCACGGTTTACTACCCATTTTCATTAATGAATCAGGATATGGCAACACTGCTGTCTTAGTATCCTGAAGAAATTTCAATCCCAGAATGAGCTTGAAATCATCCATCTGAACTACCGACAAATTTGTTCTTCCTTCGAAAGTACCTGCTTTGATTGACACAGATTTCGCTACTTCCGAAAGTAGCTGCGGAGTTAATTGCTTTAACCTTCATATTACCTTTTTCCAGAACAAGTCTGAGCCGTTCTATTTTGGTACTTGCGAAGTAGTTGTGGGTAGTACCGGTATCTACCATAACCCTGATTGGTTTTCCATTAATCTTCACATCAATGTACATTAGGCCTTTCGCCCTACAAATACGAGCCTTCGATTCTTCCGTCCTTACCTCTTTCGAGTGAAATCATCATTTTTAGTAGCCCGGTGCGATATTGTATTGCACCGATGTGAGAATGCACCAACTACATTCCCATCCTCTTCGCGACAGCTAGCTTGTGGGACATCTTGCTTTGAACTCATTCCGCCACTTGCTAGTTGACAGTAAGCATTCGCCATTTGTTTCTGAGGACACTCCGCCACTCGATGAGGTCCTTCACATAAAAAGCACATCAATTTTGGAGTGGCGTCAGAGCTGCCCTACGTTGCTTTTCCTTTATTCAGTTGTTACTACTACTGCCGTTATAGTTTACTTGACGGCTATTTTGATAGTTTCCCTGCAAGTTACTCTGACTGGTGCTTTGATAGGCTCCTCCCTTGTTATGGAAGTAACGCTCTCTCCCATTTGAGTTTGAGCTGGGTCTGTAAGGTATGTTTCCACATCCAATAGCTTGATTATTCCCCCGAAGGTCGATCTTTTCTCGATTTCGGTTGATAGTCACTTAAGCATTCGGCGGCTCCCATGGCCGCGCTCAAATCAGTAACCTTCTGTCTCTAAAGTTTCGTGCGTGTCCATGGTTTCAACTCTTCCATGAAGGTGAATAGCTTATTCTTTTCCGACATGTCTCAAATATTCAGCATATGCCCTGAA